TTTATACTTTTTGAAATGTATATTTATTAACTAATAATTAATTTTATTATATTGAACCTGTTAACTAGTTTCGTTCAAACACTATTTGCAAAAATAAAATTTCAAAAGAAGGAAATATATTCATATACATAAAAACAAAATAAAAAAGAACTTGGTATTGATGATCTGAATATAAAAAATAGCCATTAAAATAATTATTCTTGGTACACATTCACATACTTTATTCATTTCTTAGTCATATCTTTCTCTATTATTGTGACACTGGCATCTTTCTGAAAAAATGTATTTTTTACAATGTGGTATTTTAAAAGAAAACTTCCAGCAATATTCTTCATAGTTGCATTTTATGATTAATTAATTTGAAATTGATACCTTCAATTGATTCTGATTGATAGACCACAATATTTTTAATTGAGAAAATGCTCTTCTACAGGTTCTGAGTTACCTGGTAAGCTCAGAGCTAATTTGTAAATGAAGGAGATACTCAATTCTAATTTTTTTTCATATTGAAAAGTGTAACTATTCCAGCTCAAATATTTTCAAGCTACTATCTTTTTGCTTCTTTAACAGTACCTTTCTTTGACAAATATTTTTATAAGACAAAACCTGTCAAATAGTCTCTCATGGTTCATTTAAATGTTTTGCCAAAATTAGATGCTGCAAACTCTGGGCTGTATCAATTTAATTTCATTCCTGTGTAAGGTATAATTTATTCAAAATAGAAGCTCCACCAAAAGATTTTTCCTGCAATGTAAGATACTCCAAATCACAATTATAGAACTGCATAGTTTAATCTTGTGTAGCATTTGAGTTCTTACTATTTATTTTGTTCAGTTCCTTTCTTGCTTTTGTAGGGAAAAATCCCAATGGAAGCTTTTTCATTAATTGTAATTCACTAATTTGGTGTTCCATTTCTTGAACTCAAAAGAATATTTCCAATTTATTTTGAATAAAATGTCACCAAAATCTTAACAACTCATCTGTATATATAAAAGCCAAGTGACCAGAATGATGGAACGACCGGTCACTATGTCACGCACTGCAGCAGCCAACTGGCCCGATTGGGACTCCGATCGGCCTCCCACAACCTCCCGTGGCCCCTCTCCCTGGCTGGCCTGGCTTGCAATCAGCACCCCCTCCCTCCGGATCGGGGTCAGGGCTGGCCGACCTCCTGCACCCCCTCCCCCCTGCCCTGCTGGCCTAGCCTGATTGGCCCCCACCGGAGCGGGCCAGCTGGACCCCACCCATGCACGAATTCATGCACCGGGCCTCTAGTTTATAATAAAGTTCAATACCATTGTTGGATATAAAGATTTCTGAAATCTGACAGATGATGACCAACAAAGAGAGAAGACGCATGCTGCTGTGGGGAGCATATTTTTGTACTCAACATCAGTGACATCCCACAAATCTTGTAGTCCAGAGACTCTGACTATAAGGATGTTTGCAAATTTGTATAACAATAGCTTTTATTTCAATTTGGAGAATGCTAACACTTGTTTGGGTGCCATTATGAATTATGGGTATTCCACAACCAGTTTCAAGTACTGCAAAGGTTTCTGAATGTAGTAAGAACATTGTTTTTACCACAACACTGTGTGCACTTCAACAAAATTTGTACTTTCATAAAACTAATATGTTCATCTTCCATGTTGAAGTTTTAAACTGAATTTCCATTTTTACTCATAATGGCCTTACTTCTGATAGAATATACTTCCAAAAGCTTTACCTTGATTTCATGAATGGATGAAAAAACCCCACATATTTTTAGAACTAATTAAAATAATTTAATTACTTGAAGTACCTGATGACACTCAGTTAAAACAAGAATTATTTAACTATTTGCAAAGTTCTTCTGCCAATGAAGCTTAAAAAAATGAAGCTATTGCATACCTTTACCTATGTGCATAAAAAATACCTTAGAGTTGAAAGTGAGTGAAATTAATTTAGAAGAATAGACAGTTATCAAAGTTAGGCTTCACAGAGTGGTATGCATATATATCTTCTACAGCTGCATGTATTAAATCATCATTTTCAGAATTCTCCTTATAGTAACCACTAATTTTGGAAGTAGATCCTGACACTTTTTCAGAAGATTTGACTCTTGTTTTCATGTGTTCAGTGATACCGCTATGGCCACCACAGTGGATAGTAAATGTCAACATTCTGTGCAAGTTACACATTCCTTATCAACTTTCTCGAGAAACAAAAATCCAGTGGTTTTAAAAAAACCCACATACTTTTATTTTTTGAGCTTATTGCTGCCAAAGGTTTACTGCAAAAACAAAGTGTTGCCAAACAATAAAACAATTATAGCTTTATATTATACAAGCAAGCATGCTCAATCTACTCTCTACTCACTCTATATAGCCTTGATTTCCTATACATATTTCATAGGTAGCAAACCTCTGTCTTACTTTGTTTCCTATTGAGTTTTTGGACTGGTACCTGATGGCTTTGTGACTCCTGAAGACCATGCATGGGCCACAGTACATTGGATGATACACCAAATGGCCAGTGGGGCAGCAGTGTCAAATATTTCTACTGCCCGAGACAAAGGATTTAACTGTCCCTATATATTTACTATCAATAATTGCCTTGCATTCTGTCTTTGACTGGAAGTGTCTGAAAGGGTTGGAAAAGAGATGAGTTATTGTTGTTACCTTTCAGATTTAATATTATACCTTAACATAACTATCTGGGGCACATGGGCTTCATATATTGAGAGAAGTTAGCTTGAAACGCAGGCAGACAGGGCAGGGATCCAGTGGGAAAAAGGCAGGTGGAACATAGGCAGGGGCAGACATGGCAGTTTGAGCAGCCTAATCACAGAAACCAATCAAGCAGAAATAATAAAATATTTCTGGACTCAAAGTGGGAGGCATGGGAAAACAAGGGAGGGCCTGTAACAAGGTGTAGTAATGCATAGAAACAGAGAAAGTTCAGCATAGGAACAGAGAAAGAACACGTAGAAACAGGGAAAGTTCGGGTCCATTGCTGGGCAAGAACAATGAGGGAATCAATCAGGTGGTGACACAGGTAGATACAGAGCAGGCTTGTAGCAAATATATACCCCTAGAGTACAAGGCTTCACTGGGCAGCCCATTATTGGGCCCCCCTCCCCATCCAGGGAGTCTGAATCTGCTGGTAATAAATTTTTCACACTTTTGCTTAAATCTTCTGGGAGAGGGAGAGGGGGAGGGGGAGGGAGAGGGAGCTCATTCTTCGGTGTCGTGAGACATGATCCTGGGAAAAAAAGCTCTGCTCACTGTTCTGGTTATCAATACTCTTTAGCCTACACTAGACAAAAACTGAGGCAGAGGTTGGAAGTATAAGGCAGAGATCTATAAAACCCATGCTGGCTTATTCTAATGTAACTATAAGCAATCACTCTCTGTTAAAAAATAAAAAATCCAGGACAAATACTAAGTCAGATGGGATTCTAGGACAGCAGACTTACACTGAGACTGACCTTAGTAAAACCAGGGTATATACTTACATGACCTTCAAGGGAAGGAGATTTACCCTTCCTTCTCCTCCTTCCTACTAACTGGAGTGAGGACACAATGGCAACTATCTTGAGACATTAAGTAGTAAGATAAGGATGGCAGAGCAGTAAGAAGAAGCCTCGGTTCCTGACTTTGTAGAGCATGATGCCAACCCTGGACTACCTACTCATGGATGCTTTAATATGAGAACAAATAATCTATCTTGTTTTAGCCACTGTTATTTTATAGTCCCATCTAATCCTAACTGATATAGAAGAAATACCTGTACATTTTTCTAGAAAGCAGCTTGGTAATGTGTATCAAGAATACTAAGCTATAGCTGGTTTGGCTCAGTGGATAGAGCATTGGTCTGAGGACTGAAGAGTCCCAGGTTCGATTCCGGTCAAGGGCACATACCTCGGTTGCAGGCTCAATCCGCAGCCCTGGTCATGTAGGAGGCAACCAATCGATGTGTCTCTCACACATCGATCGAGTTTCTCTCAGTCTCTCCCCCTCCCTTCCACTCTCTCTGAAAATCTATGGAAAAATATCCTCGGGTGAGGATTAACAACAACAAAAAGAATACTAAAAATGTTTAAACCCTTTGAATTACTTCTAGGTATTTATCTTAAAGAAATAACCTGGAATGAGAAAAGTTGATGTGGAAAGATGTTTACTGAAGATCTATTTATGATAGTAAAAAATTAGAAGCAGTTTAAATGTCCAAAAATGAGGAATCTGATAAATAAATATTACATCTACTAGTAAATAACTGAAAACATTAAAAAGTTTATGAAAAAGTAAATAAGTGAAAATGCCTACATCATAATGTGAAGCGGGAGAAAATAGGCAGGATTAAAAAAACGCTAATACATGCACATTTTCATCTATATTACTAAAAAGCCCATATATATAAAAGTATGAATAAACAAAAATGACAGAGAGAAAATACACCAAAATATTAACTAACAATGATTATCTCTGTATAGTGAGATTATAGGTAATTTAGAACTTCTTTAAATTGAAAAAAAATTTTAAATATATTTTTATTGATTTCAAAGAGGAAGGGAGAGGGAGAGATAGATAGAAACATCAACAATGTGAGGGAATCATTGATCAGCTGTATCCTGACGCCCCCTACTGGGGATCGAGCCAGCAACCCAGGCATGTGCCCTTGACTGGAATTGAACCTGGGACCCTTCAGTCTGTAGGCTGACACTCTATCCACTGAGCCAAACCAGCTAGGGCTGAATTGAAATTTTTAACACTATCATATAATTAACAAATAATTTTATTTGTAATCAGAAAAAAATAGAAATTAATTTCCTAGCATTTACCAGTTTTATCTGGTGTTGACACTGCCACCACCACCACCATCATCATCACAACTTTACTGAGTATCTACATATGGGGAGCTGGGGCGGCAGGGTGCACAGACCTCTGTGGCTTCTGCAGTCAACCAAGAGCCACCTAAAGGCCATTCAGACACAAGCAAACCCTGCCCAGTTTTACCTTGGTGTTCTGTAGCAGAGCTAGTCCGTTGCAGGCATTTGCTAGAAGAAAGTCTCCACTCAAGATAGCAATTTTATTTCCAAAATGCATGTCTTTCAGTGGCCCATCAGAAGATTGCAATTCACTTAAATTTACTATTCCACGATGTACAAGGAGAGCAGTATGGATAAGTTCTGTGATCTCTGCCAAACTTCTTTGACTAAAACATAAAGGTAAGACTTGTCTGAGTGTCAAGAACACTCTTATCACTAATGCCAGACTTCAGTTTTCAACAATAAAATATTTACAGATTAGGTTTTTTTTAGGTTGTTTCTTTTTAATGAAGTTTTAAATTGAGATATAAATGACATATAACATATTAGTTTCAGGTGTACAGCATAATGATTCAACATTTATATATACACTGTAAAATGATCACCCCAATAAGTCTAGCTAACATCCATCACCACACATACTTACATTTTTCTTGTAATGAGAACTTTTAAAATCTACTCTCTTAGCAACTTTTAAATATATAATGCAGCATTATTAACGATAGTCACCATGCTATATAGTACATTATTTATTCCCATGACTTATTTATTTTATAACCGGGAGTTTGTACCTTTTGACCACCTACACCCATTTTACCTACCTCTTCTTCTGCTTTTGATAACCACAAATCTGTTCTCTGTATCTATGAGTTCAGATTTTTTGTTTCATTCATTTATTTACTTAAATATATTTTTATTGATTTCAGAGAGGAAGGGAGAGAGATAGAAACATCAATGATGAGAGAGAATCATTGATTGGCTGCCTCCTGCACACCTCCTACTGGGGATTGAGACCACAACCCAGTCATGTGCCCTGAATAGGAATAGAGCTGGGATCGCCCGGCTCATAGGTCGCCACTCAACCACTGAGCAACACCAGCCGGGCTGTTGTTTTGATTTTAGATTCCACATATAAGTGAGAACATACAGTATTTGTCTTTCTCTGTATGACTTATTTCACTTAGCATTTTGAAGTTTGTTGCTTTTTTGTTTTGAAGGTTTCAAATGCACTCTATTTCTTCAATCATGCCATATTTTAATGGGTACACAGTGCTTTTACGTGACATCAATTATGAAGTGGTTTTGAAACCACATTATACCAGCTGGGATGATTACTGATCTCTTCATTCCTTTGGGGTAACTCTGCCCACAGGGGGCTGGTTCCATTGTATTCCAATCTGTATTGCTGTGTATGTCCATATAGTGGCTCCACTAGCTAATACAGCATTACCCTATATACCAGTGGTTCTCAACCTGTGGGTCGCGGCCCCTTTGGCAGTCCAACGACCCTTTCACAGGGGTCGCCTAAGACCATCCTGCATATCAGATATTTACATTATGATTCATAACAGTAGCAACATTACAGTTATGAAGTAGCAACGAAAATAATTTTATGGTTGGGTCACAACATGAGGAACTGTATTTAAAGGGCCAGAAGGTTGAGAACCACTGCTATATACCATGGAAATCAGGTACAAATTTCTGGTGGCTGTGCTTTGCTGTTGTTTGCTGAAAGCTTTGAACTCAGAGCCAACTTGGTTTGTTTTTGGCTGAGGGAAACACTGTAAAGCTAAAGACAGAAGTGTGGCATCTATGGTTTGGTGCAACTCTGAGTAAGTACCCTTGCAAAAAGACTTTCATGAAGGCTCTTCCACTGATTAGTTTGGGATCTATATATAAGCAGATCTTGATACCTACCTTCTCTGTAATATTCCCTACTCTACCCAACTAGTTCCCAAGATCCCACGAGTCACAGGGTTCCCAGAGAAGCTGGCCAGTGGAGGGTGACCCTTCACAGTTGTTTACTTTGTTCTCTAACTTTCCCATATCTGCAATTTTAGGATTTCTAAGAATCCTTACCAGTATCGAACAGAACACCAATATAAGTGGGAATGTAATCTGTGCCAGACATTAGGCCAAGCACTTTTATGTATTATCTTATTTAATCCTAAGTACAAAAGAAGAATAAATTAATGGTTTAGGTTTAAATCTCATTACATGCCCCCCCCCCCAATCACCAAGATGGAGATTTATAGGACTAATGAGAATTAACAAAAATATTTTTAAAAAAGGAACTAACATTTAAAATTATCCTTTAAAAAACAACTAAAAGAAAGGAATAAAAATTTATTTTATTAGTACCCTGCAAATGTTTTCTAGTTTGCAAACCCATTCACAATAAAAATCCATATTACTACATTTCACAAAAATTGAATGAGATTATGGGCAAGTATAAAACTCAAAAAAGGTTAAGCACTGGATAAATCTTTCACATAGTTCAGCTTATAAAATAACCAGGCAAGCAAGAAATTGCAGTTGTTTTGAATTACCCTAAGGATGGAAATCAATTATTGTGAGCTTTTAATAAAGACATCTGTAATCATAAAACAGCATTCATTAAATAGCAATCTTTAAATGCCACATGGTCAAAAACAATGGTGGTAATGAAAGTGAAAAACCCATCATTTGTACAGTATCCATCATTACAAATAACTTTCATTTATATTATCCACAGAGAGGAAGGGGGAGAGATAGAGAGTTAGAAACATCGATGAGAGAGAAACATCGACCAGCTGCCTCCTGCACATCTCCTACTGGGGATGTGCCCGCAACCCAGGTACATGCCCTTGACTGGAATCGAACCTGGGACCTTTCAGTCCGCAGGCCGACGCTCTATCCACTGAGCCAAACCGGTTTTGGCCTACTTGTGATTCTAATGACAGCAGTTCTGGAGAGGTTAAATAATTGGTCGAGAACATTTTGTTTATAAAGGACAAGGCTGGAACTCAGAGTCACCATGTCATAGTGACCAATGGTAATTTAAAATATGTATTTGCCTGAGAAATAGTAAATGGGGGGGGGCAAAGTTACCATTTTACCAACACTAGTATATGCCCACCACAAATATGTCCAATTTTTATCCTTAAGTTCCAAGCACTACAGAAGACAATTTTGCTAGGAGAAAGTACAGTATGAGCAAACTTGACTCTTTTGTTCATAATAACTGGGCAAAGTAATCAAATCATTTCCAAATCCTTTGATCAGAACCAAATGAAGGGATTTAGGTTGATCAGGATTATAGATAACAGTTCTAACTCTGCCTACAACACTAGACTGTGGGGAAATTCCTTAAACTCTCAGATCCATAGTCTCACCACTGAAAAGAGGGGAACTGAAGAAACAGTCCCTTCCAGTTCGAAGATTCAGGGATTTCAGGTCTAAAATTTAATATTTAGTTATAAAATTAGAAGATTTGAGGGATTAAAAATATTACCTGGGCTGGCAGTTAATAGTTTAAAAAAAGACCAAATTATTGCTATTATTGGTCTATAGGAAATAGAAATAAAATGATTGGTTATCTTGAAATCTGTCCTGTAATTACTATCTAGTACTGTGCTCTTAACTTCTAGGATTTTGGCATCCAATAAACAACTCAGATCACATTGTGCAAGAGTCTAATTTTGTGTGCAGCAGAGAAGCAGTATAAAAGCTGGGAGTATTTTCTTCTCATGATCTTATTCCTATTTTAGCCACCAAAGCAATCTAATAAACTTGCAATGTACTAGATTTTAAAATTTATCTCATATAAAGGTCTTCATGCCATTTTATGCACGTATATTTTATCACTCTTGGGTATTTTTATGCTAACTCTTGATTGGAAAAGAGTCACAAATGAATACCACTTAGGCTAAGTAATCAGAGTAAGTAAGGAAGTAATTACCACATTGCACATAACCCAGAGGATTAATTGATGTTTTCACAAGAATTTTCACCAAATTACTTTCTTTCCATTGTATGTTAAACAACTTCATCTGTTTTGATCCATTTTCTTCCAACATTTCTCCAAAGTTCTTTAGCATTCTAAGCTTTAGAAAGAATGATGGCAGACACTGCTAGTTACCCACTCACTCTTTCCTTCCTCACTACTAAGACACCTTTTAATATATTTGGAGTGACAATGTACTCACTTAAAAACATTCGTGTCCCCAAGATCCCCTGAGGCTAGAAGTGATCATGTAGCACAGTCTGGCCAGTGAATGTAGGTAGAAGTTCACTAGGTAAAGTTTCTGAGAAATCTACTGAGTTCCTGGTATCAGGATTCAGTTGATGTGCACCTTTGGCATTTTGGGCTCACCCCCTCCTGTCAGGAATAGGGCCCAACTGCCTGGAGGCACAGCAGAGACCCAAGGATCCTAGAGAGGGCTCCCAATGAAGAATAGTGAGCAAGAGGAAAGGAGAAGCCTGGGCCCTTGATGGCTTCAAGTCAGCTTGGGTGTGCCCATCTCTAGACATTTTGTTATCTGAGTTAAGTAGACATTGCATTCCTTTAAGCTACTGTTTGTTCGAGTCCTGTTATGGGCAGCCAAGTAAATTCTTGATAGTCATTAAAATATCACAAAAATGGTGAAGACGTTTTATGTTTGTATTGCTGTACTCTGGTTTTATTCACCCAATATAATCTCTTGGACATAGTTCCACATAGTATTTACAAATAGAGAAGTTCCACATTTTTTACAAATAGAGAATCTTCTTGTTCTATTTAACATCCATCTCTACAGAGGTTCATTGTGTGGATGTGCTGTGCAACTTTTGCTGCTATAGGGTGAATGATAAACCTATATTTGTTTACAGTATTTTTAAGAATCAGCCCATGTGTCACTTCTGTGAAGTCTTCCCTCTCTTCCCCAGATTAACTCCTTCTGTGCTTGAAAGCCTCTGAACATAGCTCATTTATTGTACTATATTGTAATTACTTCTGTAGCCATCTATCTTCCTGCCACTTCTCTCCATTACTACACTGTAAATTATACTATCCTACTTCTTGGCTGCCTATAATATTTGTTGTGTAAAGAAGCAATTTTCAACTGATGTGCCACAGCACACTAGTGTGTCACAAGAATTTTAAAACATGCAATACCTGACTATTTAGTCAGGGGCACTGACCTCTTTTCCCTTAGATTGTCAAATAAAAAAATGACAACAGCCAACACAATAGTAGCCATCTGATGTGAATGATGGCTACTATTGTACCTATTTTTTTGGTCAGATGGGCAAAAATATATTATTTTGGTGTGCCACAGAATTTTAGTAATTAGTTTATGTGTACCATGAGATAAAAAAGGTTGGAAATCGATAGTATAAAGGTATAAGGGATTGTTATCATTCT